GAGAGACAATAGAGAGAGGTAATGGAGCACAGAGAGAAGAGACACATGCCCCAGGACTAGAGGGCCCTGTTCCCTTGGTGCAAGGCACTCTGGTGGCGTGTGGATAAAGCATTTTTGGCTGCTAACCAGAAGGTCGGTAGTTCAAACCCACCAGCTGCTCTGTAGGAGAAAGATAAGGCAATCTACTTGAAAACTCAATAGGAGTCTCTATGAGTCGGAACCGACTCAATGGCAGTGGGTTTGGATTTTTTGGTTTCCATCATGCAGCATTGGTGCATAGGAGACATGGTCCTTCTAAGTGTTTGTTGTTGTTATTTGTTGTTGTTGTTATGTGCCATCGAGTCAGACCCGACTCATAGCAACCCCTCCTTGGGTTTCCGAGGCAGTATCACTACGGAAGTAGATTGCCCCATCTTCCTTCTGAGGAGTGGCTGCTGGGTTTGAACCGCCAGCCTTCTGGTTAGCAGTCAAGTGTCTTAGCCACTATGCTACCAGAGCTCCTCTTCTAAGTGTAGGAAGAGGATATGTTGAAATTTTTATTGGTTTGAACCCAGGTTACAATTTGAGTTGCTCAAGCTTCTGTGTTAATCTTTGTATCCTTGATTTCTGGTTCAAACCCACCAGCTAACTCCTTGGAAGGCAGGATTGGCAAGCTACTTCCTTGGTGATACTACCTCGGAAACCCAAGGAGGGGTCACTATGAGTCAAGTCTGCATTGATAGCACATAACAACAGCAAGAACCAGTCCACTCAGTGGTGCTGTGGAAGAAAGGCTTGGTGATCTACTTCTGAAAAATTAGCCACTGAAAACCCTGTGGTGCATAGTTACACTCTGACACACAGGGAGTTGCTGTGAGTTAAAATCAGTTCAAGAACGACTCTTTTTTTTTTTTTTTTTTTAAATCTGGAAAGGATGTTACCTATCAGTGGATAACTTTTCAGAAGAATACATTCAAATTTATGCATTAAGGCCACTAAATCATAGTCTTCTATTTGCAGAAGACCAGCCCTGGAGTCTGTGGAGATCTTTAGGGCAGACTAAGCCAGTGTCTCATATAAACAGTATAAATAAACCCCTGCACTACTGAGAACCAAGTCAGCATTCTTTTTCAAACTTACTAAAGACATACATTCAGAAGGGTTTTCTAGTTTTGTATGTTGTGCGTTCCACTGTACAAGCAATTTTACATTTGCATTGCTGATGGACTTTTTCTGAATGTGTTTGACATTTCTGTGGGCTTTGAAAGGCCCTTTATGCTCCTGTTTTTCCTTCCCTAGAGCTGTCTTGGACTAATTAACCTATTCCCTTACTGGCTGGGCCAACTATATGCAAATATTCTCCTTTCTCATTCTGACATGTCACTCTTCCATGAACATCACTAATGAAACCCTGTGGGGTTTTATTAGATCGCTGCTGCTGCAGAGCCAGCAGGGGGCGCACGGAAGGATTTTTTTTTTTTTTTTTTTTCTTTTTTTTATTCTTTTTTCTTTGAGATGATCACTTAAATGAACTTCCTTGGCTAGTTGATCTGGAAATGTGAGAGTGACTCTTAAAATCTAAAGATAAACAGATCATTATGCATACTCTTGATGGGAGCTCTGATGGCATAGTGCCTAAGGCATTTGACTGCTAACCAGAAGGCTGGCGGTTCAAACCCACCAGCCACTCCCCAGAAGGAAGGTTGGGCAATCTATTTCCATAGTGATACTACCTCAAACCCAAGGAGGCGTCACTAGGAGTTGGGTCCAACTGGACGGCAGTGTATATGCATACTCTTCAAGCAGCCAAAATGGCAACTTTATTTTTTTTATGCATTTGTAGTTTAATTTGATTCTGTCATTGCTTTAAAATAGCAGTGTCATTGCAATTGATATGCAAATTTTATGCTGTGCTCTTTATAAGAGAAGGCTATATGTTGTTGTTGTCATAGTTATTAGATGCCCCTGACTGATGTTGACTGCATGCACAACACTATTCAGTTCTTTGCCATCCCCATGATTTGTTACAGATCAGCTTATTGTAATCCATGGTGTTTTTTTATTTTTTCCATTGGTTTGTTGTTTTGGAAGTAGATCACCAGGCCTTTCTTCCTAGTTTGCTCTTAGTCTAAAAGCTCTGCTGAAACATGTTCAGCACCATAGCAACCCAGAAGCCTCCACTGGAGGGTGGGTGGTGGTAAAGAGCTGTGCTGGCACAGTGCCTGAGGCATTTGACTGCTAACCAGAAGGTTAGTAGTTCAAACCACCAGCCACTCCACAGAAGGAAGATGAGGCAATCTACTTTCATAAAGATTTACTGCATTGGAAACCCAGCGGGGGTTGCTATGAGTCAGAATTGACTCGATGGCAGCGGGTTTGCTTTTTGTGTTTTTTGTGCATGAAGTGCATTGGGCGGGAATCAAACCTGGATCTCCTATGTGGAAAGTGAAAATTCTGCCACTGAATCATCAATGCCTCATGAAGGCTATATAACCCACTGTCATTCAGTCAATTGCAACTCATAGCAACCCCCATAGGGTTTCCAAGGCTATAAATCTTTATGGAAGGAGAATAGCTCATCTTTCTTCCATGGAGCAGTTGGAGGGTTCAAACCACCTACCTTTTCATTAACAACCCAATGCCTTAACCACCATGCCACCAGAGCTCCTTGAAGGCTATATAGGATGCAGTTATCTGGGATTTACAGAAGTCCTAGGTCAGGAGATAAATAGCTTATATTACTCTTTGGACAGAGTTCATTTATTCAGCATTAGTATTCTGGGTCTTTTTACTTTATTATCTGTTTCCATTCTAATCTTTAAAGTACCTTTCTTGTCATCAGAAGCAATGTGTGAGAACCTGTCCTTACCACAGTGTCCTTTGCTGTTGAGACACCAAAATTCTAAATCTCCACCTTCATATATACCTGATCAAAACCATTAAGGTTGTGAAACACAAAGGGAGTTCTTTATTTTGGGTCATTTGTCATTTCATCGTCAGTCATTGAGTGGCCATTCATATAATATTCAGTCAAAAACAGTAAGTGCCATTAAATCATTAGCCAGAACATTAAAGTTTCAAATTAAGGTTGGGGAACATAAACTGTGTATGAGATGTGGGATAAACAGTGCAAGGGGGGCAGGGGAGCAAGCAGAAGAAGAGAAGAGGCTGTGTTACAGTAGGGAGATGGCGGTTGCTTCTATAAGATAAGGGTTGAATACTGAAGACTGCTACCTTACTGTGGAGGTGAATGCCAAAACCCAAGGGCCTAGGGTTCCCAAAGCCCAAGCTCATGGCTTCACAGGATCATAGCACCTTACATTACTCTCTTCTGCACCTGCTGCAAATAAGAGTACACATGGGTCTGCTCTTGTTAGCAAGGGTCCTGCTGGTTTGGTTCATGTTCTGCCTCTCACCAGGTGGATGTGGGCCTGCTTACATGGTGGTTGTGACTCAGAGTTCAGTGGTTACTACAAAACTGAGACCTATGACTAAAAGAACTAGCTCCTGAGCCGCTATCTATGTGTCCAAGTTTAAACACATTGATCTGATTTGGCTGAAAGAGGCTTCATCCCTAGGGTCAATGAGGAGTTGGCCTTTCCCAAGGAGAAAAGTGAGGGAACCATGTGAAGAGAAAGTTCAAAGACAACTTGGAAAGGAAGCAAGAGGTAGGGATGAACTAACTGTGAACCTTCATCCAGGAGACATTGAATGCGTCAGTCCTATTATGGTATTCATTTTTTTCTTTTAAAAACCACAGCCATGTTTAATTTTTAATTGTCTCAGAGTTTTCTTTTGGCTGGCTGTTCCCACAAGTGGCTATATGGGGAATTCTTTTGAAGCTTGTAGAGAATAGGATTATTTGTGGCTGCCTCTGCTGAATTAGCATTGTGCGGTTTGTATGTATATGTGGTGTGCATGCAGTGTGTGTATGCAGTATGTGTGTGTGTGTTAGGCAAGAGGGAATCATTGTTGATTTGCATGGATCCAGAGTCTCATGAAATCTGCAAGTAGTGACTGGCAAGTATGCAATTGGAAGCAATATATGAAGACTGCTCGGGACTTTTGCCTCCTAGCCTGCTCCTGCCCAGTGCCTGGCTCTGTGAGGGTGAGGGATGGCTGACTTTGACTTATGTCATCTTCCCTGTGGGCCTCATGTGGTTTTTCCAGTGAGATAAAGAAAAGGTGAATCATAGGACCAACATTTCTGAAAAAGAAATTTAAGAAATGCATTGTCAACTCTCTAAGGAGAAAAAAAAAAAAAAAAATGCACTGCCATCGAGTCAATTCCAACTCACAGCAACCACTGTTGGGTTTCCAAGGCTGTAAATCTTTACAAAAGTTGATTGCTTCATCTTCCTCCCGCAGCGCAGCTGGTGGGTTTGAAGTGCTGACCTTCTGGTTAGCAGCCAAATGCCCTATCCACTGTGCAGACAGAGATCCTTAAGGAAAAAAACAAAGGGGGTGGGAGGGAGGAGGAAAGACAGGGTATTGGGAAACAGGTCTTAAGGGAGTTGTTAACTCCAGAAAAAAATCACATGCTTTAGGGTTCTGACTTGTCCAGTGTCTTAATATTTATCACAACATGCTACCAAAATGGTCCATGTTGGATCTGTTTTCATGCTTGGGCTATAATCGGGTTTTGGAAATCACATTGTAACCAGAGACCTACTCTTAATCTTGTCAAGGAATTTTTTTAAAAAAATATATTCATATTTTATTTAACCAGTATATTCAAGAAATGACCATTTCATCGAGGATGTTTTTCTTCTGGTGCTGATAGTTTGATTTCTTCTCTCTCCTTCCTTCTCTCCTCCCACTTCCTTTTCCCCTTGCCACCGCCCTGTTTCTTTCCCCAGAATCCAGAGCTGCTGTTGGTGGATTGTACCCACGGGGAGATGATTCCTCATGAAGAGCCTGGGTCCCCTACAGAAATCAAATGTGACTTTCCGTTTATCAAACTAAAACCAGAGCCAGCCAGACAGTGAAAAACAGTCACCGTGGAGGGGGGACGGCGAAAAATGAAATCCAACCAAGAACGGAGCAACGAATGCCTGCCTCCCAAGAAACGTGAGATCCCTGCCACCAGCCGGCCCTCTGAGGAGAAGGCCCCAGCTCTGCCCAACGACAACCACCGGGCAGAGGGCTTGGCATGGCTCTCCAGCCATCCAGGGGGCCAAGGCCATGGGGGCAGCAGACATGGGCCAGTGGGGACTTCAGGGGAACTCAGTTTACAGCAGGGAATAGGTTTACACAAATCGTTGTCCACAGGCTTGGACTACTCCCCACCCAGCGCCCCCCGGTCAGTCCCGGCCACCACCACGCTTCCCACAGTGTACCCACCCCCGCCGTCAGGGACACCAGTGTCCCCTGTGCAGTACGCCCACCTGCCCCACACCTTCCAGTTCATCGGGTCCTCGCAATACAGCGGACCTTACACCGGCTTCATCCCCTCCCAGTTGATCTCCCCAACAGCCAATCCCGCCACCAGTGCAGTGGCTTCAGCCGCCATGGCCACCACTCCGTCCCAGCGCTCCCAGCTAGAGGCCTATTCCACGCTGCTGGCCAACATGGGCAGTCTGAGCCAGGCCTCCGGACACAAGGTTGAGCAGCAGCAGCAGCACTTAAGCAGGACTCCAGGGCTCATGACCGCGGGGTCCCCTCCACCCACCCAGCAGAACCAATATGTCCACATTTCCAGCTCCCCACAGAGCTCGGGGCGCACAGCCTCTCCGCCAGCCCTCCCCGTCCACTTACACCCCCATCAGACGATGATCCCACACACTCTTACCCTGGGGCCCTCCTCCCAGGTGGTTGTGCAGTACACGGACTCTGGCAGCCACTTCGTTTCTCGTGAGTCTACCAAGAAGGCCGAGAGCAGCCGGCTGCAGCAGGCCTTACAGGCCAAGGAGATCCTCAATGGGGAGATGGAGAAGAGCCGGAGGTATGGGGTCCCCTCCTCAGCAGACCTGGGCCTGGTGAAGCCGGGTGGGAAGGCAGCGGCCCACCCCTATGAGTCCAGGCACATGGTGGTCCACCCGAGCCCTACTGATTACAGCACTCGAGATGTTTCTGGGGTCCGGGCCTCTGTGATGGTCCTGCCCAATAGCAACACACCTGCCACAGACCTGGAGGTGCAGCAGGTCACCCATCGAGAGGCATCCCCCTCCACCCTCAATGACAAGAGTGGCCTGCACTTAGGGAAGGCCGGCCACAGGTCCTACGCACTATCCCCACAGCAGGCACTAGGCCCTGAAGGTGTGAAGGCTGCTGTCACCACACTGTCCCCCCACACAGTCATCCAGACGACACACAATGCCTCAGAGCCACTCCCCGTCGGGCTGCCGGCCACAGCCTTCTATGCAGGGACCCAGCCCCCTGTCATCGGCTACCTGAGCAGCCAGCAGCAAGCAATCACCTATGCCGGCAGCCTGCCCCAGCACCTGGTGATCCCTGGCACCCAGCCCCTGCTCATCCCAGTTGGCAACACGGACATGGAAGCATCGGGGGCTGCCTCTGCCATTGTCACATCGTCACCCCAGTTTGCTGCAGTGCCTCACACCTTCGTCACGACCGCCATTCCGAAGAGTGAGAACTTCAGCCCGGAGGCCCTGGCCGCACCAGCCGCCTACCCGGCCATGGTGCAGGCCCAGATCCACCTGCCTGTGGTGCAGTCTGTCGCCTCTCCCTCGACGGCGCCCCCGACACTGCCTCCCTACTTCATGAAAGGCTCCATTATCCAGCTGGCCAACGGGGAGCTGAAGAAGGTGGAGGACTTGAAAACGGAAGACTTCATCCAGAGCGCTGAGATAAGCAACGACCTGAAAATTGACTCCAGCACGGTGGAAAGGATCGAAGACAGCCACAGCCCAGGCGTTGCTGTGATACAGTTTGCTGTCGGGGAGCACCGAGCACAGGTAATGTTTGCTCAGGACTCATAGGTTGGTGGGCATCTCACCATACCTCCTTCATCATTTCCTGGCAGGATAAATTGCTTCTCTGTCAGACTCGTATATGCAGTGAATGGGATTAACCAGTTCCCATTGAGTTGACCCCAGAGCATGGTGACCCCATGTGTGTCAGAGTTAGAACTGTGCTCCATAGGGTTTTCAATGGCTGATTTTTCAGAAGTAGATTGCCAGGCCTTTATTTCAAGATGCCTCTGGGTGGACTCAAACCTTTAGCCTTTCTAGTTAGCATTCAAGTGCACTATTCAATTGCACTATGTAGGGCTCCATGTGGAGGATTAAAAATTCTCATTTATACCTAGATCTTAGCCTCAGAGCCTTTCCTGTCCATGTTCTATAATAGTGTTAAGTTCATTGCCCCAAGGCATCCAGTGTTTGTAATGAATTCTGTGCCCCTAGAGAGGTGTAAAGGACCTCTGGTGCTGTGGTGCCTAAGGCATTTGACTGCTAACCAGAAGGTTGGTGGTTCAAACCCAGCAGGGGCACCACAGAAGGCAGATGGGCCAAAGACCAGTTTGCTGATCTGATAGAGCCTGCTAAGACCCCTGAGACTATGGCCCCTAGCTGCCCTTCAGGTCTGGAATTGAACACACTCATGTGGCTTCCAGCCAAACAGTAGACATGTAGGGTGAACATTTACATCAGGTAGATACACTCCTTGGAGCCATCAATCATGGGTGGACAGAAGGGCAGTGTTTGCACAGGGAGACAGCTTGGGGCGGGAGGGTGTGCAGGAGTGCATGGGAGGGACACAGGGAAGAGGTAACTACGGGGAGGAAATGAGAAGAGAACTGTTACATTGTGGGGAATTGCAGTCAATGTCACGAGACAAAATATGTATGAACTGCTATAGGGAAAATGAATTTGCTCTGTAAACTTCCGCCCAAAGCATGGTAAACTTTCACCCAAATCATGACAAAAATTAAGGGAAAAAAAAAAAAAAAAATGGGGCAATCTACTTCCATAAAGATTTACTGCCTTGTAAACCCAAAGGCGGTTGCTATGAGTTAGAATTGACTCTATGGCAGTGAGTTTGGTTTTTTTGGTTAGAAAGGTGCTAGTTATGTGCCCGGAGCTCTGGTAGCATAGTGCCTAAGGCACTTGACTGCTAACCAGAAGGCTGGCGGTTCAAACCCACCAGCCACTCCTCAGAAGGAAAGTTGGGCAATCTAATTCCATAGTGATACCACCTCGGAAGCCCAAGGAGGGTCGCTATGGGTTGGGTCCAACTCGACGGCACGTAACAACAACAACACAACAGTTATGTACCACCCTTGGGATTACTGAGAAAATCCTAACTTAAATTCTGCCTGTGTTCTGTGCTTCTGTGGAGGAACATCTATTGGGAAAAGCTGTGGGCTCCAGGCCTTTCCAGCAAACTTTTGCCCCATTTCAGGATAAGACAGAGTCTGCTGGTACATGGAGAGCATTCGCCCCTCAGAGTCATCTTGTCCTACTCCACATCTGAGAGGCCAGGGCTGTCCCAGCTGACCCTCTCGGGTTTGTGTTAAGTCATTAGGGATCCCGTGGGTCAGACGCCAGCCATGATTAGGAACTGAAAGTATGATTCAGCATCAAGTCAGTTCCAGCTCATGGCAGAACTCGTGTGTGAGAGTACAACTGTGCTCCGAAAAGTTTCAGCGGCTAAGTTTTGAGAAGTAGATCAATCACTAAGCCTTTCTTCGGAGATGCCGCTGAGTAGACTTGAACCTCCAGCCTTTTGGTTAGCAGCCAAATTAACATTTGAACCACCCAAGGACTGCAAAAGTATATTAACCATCTTTATTCCCATGGACTCCTTCAAACTACCTCTTCCAGTCTTTCCCATCACATGAATGCATTTATTCCATCATCCATTTCTATGGAAGGAGCCGTGGTGGCACAACCGTTAAGCAGTGAGCTGCTAACTTAAAAGGTTGGTGGTTCAGACCCACCCAGCACCATGGGAGAAAGACCCAGCAATCTGTTTCTATAAAGATTACAGCCAAGAAAACCTGTGAGGTCGTTCTTTGTCACATGGGGTCGCTACATGTTGGAATTGACTTGAAGGCACCCAGCAACAGCAATGTTTGAAACCGTGCTTTCCTGCCCAGTTTGCTTGGATTTGAATAGGCTTGGTCCCCAGACCTGGAATTTCCCTGGATGTAAAGCCCCATTTATCTGGGGATGTTCCCAGATGGAGGACTTTGAAACACTCTAGGGTGGCAACAGAGCCTCATTTGGGTTCGGGTTGAAAAATGGTTATGGCTGATATTTAGGATGTTCAAAGAAAAATAGCACAAACAGAAAAGACAATAGTGAGTGGTTTGAATTGTTATGGGTAGATTTTAAAAAAAAAAAAAAAAATCAAGCTAAGGAGGAGAAAGACCAGTTGTCCAAGTGTTTTCCAGAACTGCTTGTGAACGACCAGATGTAGTATCTTGCACAACTTAACCCTGCATTGCCAAGTGTTTTGGCCCTGAGTGCTTTTGTTTTTTATGGCAAGATGTAATGTTCGGTTTTCTGGGAAGGTCTGAGAAACATTTCTCAAAGTTATAATTCTGGAGAAAAAAAAAAAAAAAAAGAACAAGCCAAAATCAGTAGTTTTATGATTTTTTTTAATATCATTTAAAAAAAAAATTGCCACTGAGTAGATTCAGACTCATAGCGACCCTCATTGACCTGTCTGACTTCTGGGAAGTGGCTGGTGGGTTTGAACCACCAACTTTTGGGTTAGCAGTCAAATGCCTTAGACACTGCGCCACCAGAGCTCCTAAAAAAAAAAAGCATAATTATTTAAAATTCATAAGGAGCTCTGATGGCATAGTGTCTAAGGCATTTGACTGCTAACCAGAAGGCTGGCGGTTCAAATCCACTAGCCACTCCTTGGAAGGAAGGTTGGTCAATCTACTTCCGTAGTGATACTGCCTCGGAAACCCAAGGAGGAGGGGTTGCTATGAGTTGGGTCCGACTCAGCAGCAGTGAGTTTGGATTTTTTTGGTTTTTACCGATACATGGTTACTGCCCACTGCCACTTCTCTATATGGATTAAGGGAGCATATTATTTGAAAAGGATGTTGTGCTTGGTGAAGTAGAGAGAGTGGGTGAGGAGAGCTCTCAGTGAGATGGACTGACACGGTGCCTGCAGCAGTGGATTCAAACATACCAAAGATGGTGATGCTGGATTAGGCAGTGCTTTGTTCTGTTGCACGCAGGGTCTCCATGAATGGGAGCCAACCTCGCAGTAATACAAAAACAAAACAAAAAACTCACTGCCATTGAGTCGATTCTGACTCATAGCGACCCCTGTTGGGTTCCCGAGGTGGTAAATCTTTGCGGAAGTAGATCACCCCATTTTCCTAACGCCGAGTAGCTGGTGGGTTTGAAGGGCAAGACTTCTGGTTTGCAGTCATATATGTCTTAGGCACTAAGCCACCAGAGCTTCTTGTAACTAACAGTAGAAGGAAAATGAGTCGCCTTTAACAAAATGAGCTCTTAACAGATTCCAGGGGAAGCACAGAAAATAAACAAGAATGAAAAGAAAATGTGGTTTTTTTGCCCGGTACTTTTAAAAGATAATTTATTTTGTTGTTGTTGAAAATAGACACAGCCAAACACACACCAACTCAGCGATATCTGCATGTGCCGTTAAGTGGCACTGAGAACATTCTTCAAGTTGCACTACCATTCTCATCCTGCTTTTCTGGAATTGCTTCTCCGCCATTAAAATACACTCACAGCCCTCTAAGCTTCCTAGCTACCCTTTCAAGTTGCTGTTGAAAATTTGATCCCATGTCGATAGTTCTTTAAGGGAACACAATGCTCAAGGCAGACAGTCTGTACTCATTTTCCTGGTACTTTTATTTAAAGTGATGTTGTCAGCAGTGGTAGGCATGGAAAGAGGTTTTAGCCTGAAATGAGACTGGTTCCTCAACAGTATCTCTTTAAAACTGACAACGAAGCCAAATTGTTGTAACTGCACGTCAGCCTACAAGGGCTTCAAAGACCCCTTCTGATTTCAAATCAACCTGGCAAGCACGGAGAGAGGAAGAATCTGTTTTCCCTGGCTCTGTGTGTTGCAAAATGAGCGATTAAATGAGAGAGAAATTGGCTTCTGTAGGCGGTTTCTTTCCTGGAGCCAGACCACTCATCTCTTTGCTGTCCGCTGAGGTGCAAATTAGAAAGTAGAGTATTTGTCAAGCGTGTTCACAGATCTGCCAGGGTGGCCTGTGTTGTGGGGTTTCGTGCTGGCAAGGGCTTCCGCTAAGATTGGCAGGAGAGCTGTGGTCTGTTGCAAGGGCGGCTTGGATTTCAAGCAGTACAAACAAAAGTGCAAGGTCCTGAGCAACCAATGAAGTAGCCTTTCCCTGAGAAGCCTATCAGAAATAGGCTGACATCATCACAACTAAAATACTCCACCAGTGGTGTTTGCCACAAGGCTCAGAGTTAGTAGACAGCAGAGGCAGAATAAAGAGGAGAAAGCAGAGAGACAATTCATATGGGTTCCAAGAGTCTAGTGTTCCCTCACCCTCAGTCTCTCCCGACCTAAAATATCAATCAGCGTCTTTTCAGCTGGTTAGAAAGCACCACCACTTCCATCCACAGGGAGATTGAGAAATGTGAAAAGTGTTCAACTTCATTAGCAGAATCACAAATTTGATTGGGGGAGTTGTTGAAGATCTCCAGGGCAGATGGTTTCATGGCCGCAGGCATAAATCCTACAGGAGAATGGCCGAGCTGCTTGACCTCATAAAGCCTCCATCGTCATTCCCAGGGAAGACAGTGTGGGAAAAAGACAGGCCCAAGTGAGGAGGAGACTGGCTCTGGGCTCACTCTGTTGCTAACCACTTGTGAGACAAGTTCATTCACCTCTTTGAACTTCAGTTTTTCCTACCTATAAAACAGTCAAATTATTCTTTATGCAAAATAATCCCCTGGGCCTCCTCAGATTTTTAATCTTCTACTTTCCT